ACGACCCATGCCCGGAATTTAAACCACGCAAGTTCTCGGGAGAAGATTCCATCGCAAGCACAGATGATGAATCTCAGCTCGAGGATAATCCACCTCCAGCTGCATCAGGTTAATAATTTTTGAAATTTTCACAAAATTTTTGGTCTGGAATATCAGTGCTGATAGATAACGATGAAGAACACGTGGCGCGTTCTTCTCAAGGAAGAAAAGGACAAGGCTGTTCGACTCCGCAGTGCATGGCCAACAATACGCTGGCTCCACTTCGCGCAATTGATGTCTCGGCAGTCACACCCTATGACGGACCTTCTGCTGAGAATGTAAGGAAGGATTTCCTTGAATTTGGAATCACGATTTCTCAGAGGCAGTGTCTCGGCAGAATTTCGATTTCCAATCTTCCATATTTTCGGAGACTTCTCTACATGAGGAACCCTTATCTGGGCTTTTCAGCGCATGAAAATGGCGAAAATGTGCCCTTTTCAGACTTTCCAGGTCCGCATTCAGTGAAGAATACATGCAAGTGGCGGGGCCTGGAACGGGGGAGGCGGGGCGCGAAAGACCACCGGCGTATCTTCACTGAATGCGGACTTAAAGCCTTCAAAAAAGCTCATTCTCGACATTTATATGCGCTGAGAAGCCCAGATATGGATTCAACATGGCGAGAAAGATCCGAAAAGGTGAATGACTGGAAAACGGAATTCTGCGGAGACACTGCCTTCGATGTTATGGAATCCTGTCTGCGACATTTTATCCATTTCTACTGAAGTATCTCGAAATTTTCTTACATTATGAGGTCATGTATGCCTATTTAGACTCCTCAAGTTGCTCAAGTACCACCAAAATCGAAGAATGGGAAAGCAGTCGAAGTTGTCGATGAAGAGATGGTAGTTGACGGTATGTCTTCCTTTTTGTTATTGATGACGTTTCTTACTTTTCGTCTTAGATGCAGCAGAAGCCCCCACTCCAGTGGCTGCTGGCAACGAAGGAGATTCAATGGAAGACGTTTTATCCATGATGCGAGCTACCCCAAAAAGGGCTGCTGTGACTAGGAGAAACAATCTAACTTCTTCTCTCCTGCACATGGTGGATGACGCTCCAAGGAGGTAAGTTTGGGAACACGGCGTAGATTGCAACAAAAGCATGTGAATGCTCTCCTTCTAAGAAATTACTTTTTCCGAGCATTTAACTTTGCAGGAATGAGGCGAGCTCGGCTGCCGAAGAAGTACAGAATGCCACATATTCAGTACACAAAGACGGTACATATACTATACCGAATGCCGACGCTTCAAATGTTCAGCCTGCTGAAGTTTCTGCTCCGGCAAATGCTACGTTCACCGTGAGCACGAGAGAGGTGCCAGAGAGCACGGGAGCGGCTGTTCGTCCCACGGTAATTTTTCCATCATCATATCGTTCTTACCTGTTACTGCTCAGTCAGTCCAGGGTTGAGGGTTTCTTTCGTAGCCTTTTTTCTTTGTGACGAGGGGATTCACAAAATAAGAGTTAATGCGTATTTGATGAGCTGCTGTTATAGCAAGTTTTTCAGGAGCAAAAACAAGTACAGGACGAAGTCTCCTTTGCGGTTCCTGCTATACCTAGGAGAAGAAGCAAGAACGCTTCCAAGACCACCTTACAGGAAAGAGAAGAAAGATTGGTAAATCAGCTCTTCAGAAGTCTTCTTCTCGTTTTTGCTAAGAATCATTTACAGAACACTTCACACAAGAAGAATATGTCGTTACTGGAGGCGATGGATGTAGATGTGCCTTCTCCGGGGCGTGCATTATTCGCCGCTCGGCCTCTGAAAAAGGTTGGGTAACATTATGTCAATCTTAGTCTTATTTTGTTTGTTTTAGCCACGTACTTTGGCAAAAACTCCAGTCCGATCTAAGCAGCCGCCGAATGATGGTATTTTTGAATCTATTATCTAAGTTTTTTGCAACACGTATAGTTCGCTTGTTTTTTGAGTTTAGCTGGATTTATCATTTGGTCTGCGTTTAGAGTATATATCTAACTTTAGAACTGTAGATAATTTTGATATTTTTCAGATACTATGGAGGTTTCGATTGTTATGTCCGACATCAGCGAGCAGCCATCCGTCACTTCAGACGACAGCTCCGCGATTGACTCGAATAGTGAACCCCGGCCTGCACAACAACAAACTCCAACGCATGCACCTGTACAGCATACTCCTACACGTAGCACCGGAGTGAAGGTGACAAAGGGAACGCTAGGACACACGGTAAACAGTTCTAGCGTTATTTCGAAATAGTTGGGATTATAGTAGGCATCCGATCTTTCTGTGAAAACTTTAAATTTTTTCCATGTGAAATTGTGTATTTTTATTTTGCCCATTCTCCCGCCCCCTCCTGAGACTAGATCGCGCAATTTGGTGATATGGCCTACATCACTTATATTGCAGGAGTAACTTAATCGAAATGATGGAAAA